AGAAACGATCATTTTCCGGCATTTAAGTCTTTATACACACACATCTTGTTGTTTATTCGCTTCTGTGTGGGAATCAAGCGTGACATGCTATGGGATTGGAGGAGGTGTCGGAGAAATGACTGGTTCCATCCATGGAAGCCACCTCTATGGGCGCAAGCATCTTTATCGGCAGAGTTGCCAAAGGGAACATGTGGGAAGCCTACTGCTTGCAGTATCAAAGCATGGTGCTCGCAACCAAGTCCAAACGCGCCATGTTTATGCGAACTGCATGGTATGTGTATATATATAACTATATATATAACATACCTGGATATACCTGGACCTTACATGGGTGTATGTTTTCGGCTGTTTGGCGAAACAATACCAATCGCAGTCTTTCGCCGTCAAAAACAAGCGTTTCGATGTTTTTACAGAGGTTGCCAAATTAGAGGTCGACAAAAGTCACCGCTTGGTCGGGGAAAGTCACCGTTTGGCTGGGAAAAAAGGCCGTTTCCAAACCTTGACTTAGGATAGAAAGCAGTTCAATCATGTTCAATCCAAAAAGTGCTTCAAGACAAAATAGTTGGCTTTTGCTGCTTGCAAAAACATGTTTGACTGAAAAGGCATAAAAAAGGCATTACATAATGAGCTATGAAGACCCAGGTCTTCATAATTATCATCACGGTGCCCATCGAATGCCTCGAATTTTCGTACGTCTCTAGGTACAGCCCTCCACTCTTGGTGTTTGGTGATCAAAGGTGCCCCTGTTGACCTCCTGGCTTCAACATGCTTCAACCGCCGTCCCGTAAGCGCTCCGGTCCACCCAAATCCGCCCGGTCCACAGCTGGGTAGCGACTCGAACGGGTCGCACTGCCTCGAACGGGTCGTGACTCGTTGCCAGGATTTGCCAGGGCCGCCGATTGAATGACACCCCGAGTCACCTGTTTTCAAACGTGGGGCCTTGCTACAGCCTTTTTGAAGTAGGGATGGAAACATGCATGACTGTCAAACACACACACACTCTCCCTCTCTCTCTATATATATATATATATGTGCAACATGTGTGCCACTTTTGTTCAAAACCCCACACCATTTCCGGTTTGTCTTTCCCAGCCTACCTGCAAATCACAGGAAAACACACCAGTGGCGGCATCAGATTTCTTATCAACTCAAAAAACCTGTTCTAAACCATGAAGGTCCTTTTCTTGTAGGGGTGCTTCAACGGTGACTAAATCCACTGTGATGCAGCCAGCCGTTGCTCCTCCAACTCACCAAAGGCCAATGCAGGGTCATGTTGAAACCATCTATTGATATGTTGCGAGAACACATCCTCGGATCGGATGAAACCTAAGGATGACTCACCAAAACCATCCGTCCATAGGTCGCTACGTCGCCTCGTCTGGCCGTGCGGGCCATGGGTCGTCGACCACGCCATCTCGATCAGCGGCATGGAACGGTTGCAACTAAGGCTGCCAACTCAGGGAGGGGTTGCAACTGCCATGGTAGCCCCATGGTAGTGTGGCCCGATTCTGTGCGAGCACGGAATCGGGGAGGAGTGCCTCTAGGAGGGTGCCCAGCTTGATGGTCAGCTTACATGGTCAGCTTACAGCTTGTCATTCAACACCGAGCTTGCTCATATACACAAACCCCTTAGGGTCAGACTAATGAAGCGATAATCCATCAGTTCCCATGTTGGAACCGTATGGAGCTGTACAGGCGACCTCTATTCACAGCATTCGAGCATGAAAGGCGACGGCGGAATATCGATCGCTCCGGCAGCTTTCGGGGCTGTTTCGTCTACCCAAAGAAACAAGTCCTTGCCTTGGTCAAGCCAAACAAGTCCAGCGCCACGACCAGAAGTCAAAAAGAGTAAAACTGGTTGGCGAACATTGACATGGTCTTGGCTATAGGAAGTTTAACAGTTTAACACGTGGTTTATGAACAAAAGAAGCCGCAACGAGTTTCTTCTAGTGAAACGCTTCTGAACACGCATCTGCCAAGGTATCGAGAAGCAGCAGCCGAACAAACGGGCCCGTGGAGCAGTCGGAAGAGGAAATTGTTGAAACAATTGGCAGTTGGCAGTTGACAACAATATTTGAAGAATGCATCAACTTGAAAAGTACATGGTTGAATTATATTGGCAATATTTGACATGATTCAATCATGCCTTGGTATTTCACACATGTCTCGTAATGGTATATGAAAACAAGGGTCTTGGGTGCTCCAACAAAGGGTCGGTTGATCAATCCTATAGGGCTATATAGGGCTCCAATTGCCCCCGTTACCTCCGTTTCGGTTTGGTGGCTGGTGTAGGTGCCAGTGGGGGCTGCGTTTCCTTCTAAGGATGTGGTTGGAACCCAAAGGCAATCAACATCTCCCTCCTGACAGGATGGTTCTACATCTCCAAATGTCCAAATACAGTATTTGTTGTTTCTTGTTGATTTAAGCCACCAACACTCGGGAGGCTCCATGCCTGGGCCAGTTTCGTAACAGTTTTGGCTCACCCATAGCAATGGATGTTCTTTTTTTTGGATGTTCACTCTTGACTTGCATGATCTTCAAACTGGTTTATTGTGTTCCATTGCCCTGTTGAGTTCTATCTGTATCTCCAACCACCCGGCTCGAATTTTCAGCTTCGCATTTCAGATTCTGCCCGGTCTCGGGTCATCTCGGGTCCTGGAAAGCCACGAAGATCACGAAGCTAAGAGATCTGGAAAGGGTACCTTGATTCATTCAACTCGCCAGCACCATCCAAGGCGTCACCAAGGCCTCAGGACCCCCCTACTGATGGATTTCCAGACATGACACCCCATGGAGGGTACAGGTATGCCAAGTTGAAGGTCTAGCCTTGAACAGCGCTTTTTTGGGTTGCTGCCTGCTCGATAGAACATACAGTGTTGGTTTAAAAAGCACCTATAAAGGACAATTTGCGCAGTCTGGCTGTGACTAGACCTGACAAGTTCCTCCAAACTTGGGTGACTGACTGGGAGGAATTTCCCTCACTAGACACTGCACATCTCTCATTTGCGTGAGGCTCCTTTGGAACTGTTCCTGTTGATGTTGTTGTTTGGTTCCGAAGGTGTTAACTACTACTGACATCTAGGGACTAGTGGCTCAAAATCTATGGACACATATGGAATCATAAGCAACGAGGGTTGGCCACCGCTGTTGTTCGCTGCCATTATATAAGTGTTCAGTGTGATCACTGTGTTCATGTTCATTCACTTCCCCTCCCATCCAAACCTCGACAGGCTCCCAGAAAAGGCTCCGGAAAGCCGGAAAGAGAGCTGGCCACAACTTGTGCCATCTTCACCTGCGTCACCTGCGTTGGCACAAAGTCATGTTCTTTCATCTCCGGCTCGGCTTCAAGAAAAGGACACATCCTCCGATTCTGATTTAACACAAGTGGCTACATGATGCTACATGTTAATAGCCTTGTAGCATAAGTACGACTCTACAGACTCGAGAGCCCAGAGCTTTCCAACGTCAAAGCTGTTGCCTTGGCGAGAGGTCCAAGGCCGAACGTGTGTTGCCACTGAACCTTTGGGGTCATGAAATACATCGCTCAGGCGGCATCGAAACAAGAAGACACCGAGCTCTGAAATTCCATCGCTGAGCCGCTGCAAGGCATTCACACAAGAAGTCAGGAACCGTGTCTTTCGATTAGCTTTGCTCAGTTTTTAACCTCCAAATCTAAGGGCACGACGGACATGGAGTAATGCACTGCTCAGATCAGCCGTTCGTCCGACAAGCACAGGCCTTGGCAAAAATATGTGGTTATTGTACACAAAACAAACTCTTAGGAGCCACAGTTGTTCCATGTTCCTTCAACAGGGTGTTTAAGTACCCTTGTTTTCACCGTTTTCACCCGCATGGTCTGTATGTTCTACTTTTTCAGGACATCAAAGAACGTCATTTCTGGAATCTCAGACTTGACCGTGTACAGGTAGGCGAGGGGTCCTCAGTCCGCTTAGGAAGCAGAATCGCCATCCACCTCTGCGAGGTCCACAATTCTTTTTTGGTTACTATGACTATATCTTTAAATGATTCAAAAGCATTTTTCCTATAGAATGTGTTAATGTGACTGGTGTTCTTTTTGGCTATGTTCTTTACATGTTCAATGCCAATTTTTTGCTCTAATGTAGCTGTTCTTTTGAATGAGGCTTCCCCTTGCTAATACCATGTTTTCCGTTTTATATGTTATGAGACTTCGCTTTTCTGATATTTCTAAAAATGACTCTTCCTTTTGATGGATGGTTTCCTTTTAATGAGACTTTTCCGGACAGTCTTGAAAGGGAGTTCAGTTTTCTAAACAAAGTGTGCATGTTGATGAAACGTTTCCTGTTTAATGACATCATGTCATGTATCTCTTACGAACGGTACGGTTCTTTTCAATGCGACCTGTCTTTTTTAGAAGTGTCTCTTAAACGCATTTTACTGTTAATGCAGTTTTGATCAGTTTTGCCTTTCATGGTTTGTTTCTTGAGACTTGTTGTTTTCAATTTTCAATGTCATTTGGTAGAACATTCACGCCTCGCGCGGCAAAAGACTAAAGCGGCAAAACATTATTCACCTCTCACGCGGTAAAACGGTAAACTGTTCACACCTCACGTGGTAAAACGGTAAAATGTTCACACCTCGCACGGTGTCGCAGCTTAACATGTTAATATCAGTTTACCGTTTAAATCATTGCAGGGCAGAAGACTTCGATTTTGCAATTTACCATTTTAGTGTTGCAGCATGTTGCAGTGCAGAAAACTTTGCTTTTATATACAATTCTACCGTTGCAGGGCAATGGGCAAACAACTGCAATTTTACAATCCTACCTGCGCCTCGCAAAGGCATTTGGCAAGACACGCAAAGTAACTACCTTAGCTGGTAGCTAGTAGCCCTTGTCTCCAGCAACGTAGGTGGTCCACTTGGGCACTTTCATATTGTCCCACTAGTGTAAACAAAATAATGGTGTATTTGCCCACCGCCAGGGTAGATATTAGAAACTACTGGACTGGGGCATTTACAGTGGCAGCATTCATGAACAAATGTCTAGCACAGTTTGCTCGCTACTTGAGTGGAGAGAAATGGAACGCCACAAGCGAGCTAACTTTCGCTCCTTCAGTCTGCGACTTGACAGTTGCTGAATCTGCTTCTACAACCTCTTATGCCATCACAAAACGATGGCGGTGCCCACCATAGCTAAGAAACAATCTGTACACGTTCACCCATTGATTGGCCTTGCTACCCGGAGGCCAGCCATAGCACTGAAAGCAAGCCTTACACCCCAAGGGACGCTTCCAGCTGCCCCAACACATCATAACAGACGTGTTCTGCAGTTCTGTCTCTCTGAATCACATCACACAGCAATCACCCACATTTGCTTCTTTGATCTGTTCACCCGTAATGGCTTCGACATCCGTATCACTCTCATCTTTGCGGCGCTTAAATCGTTGCCGTGCCATGGCAATGGGCCACCCATTCACTTCACCCCACTTGCCAAGACCCACCGATCGCACGAGCAGCATGAAGACCTTCCTGTTGCTCAGCGCCTCGCTGCCGAACAAATGAATCCCCAGCTGGCACAGTGTCGCGTTGGAGGCCAAAGACTGCTTCACCGGGTTCTTGCGGCGGTGCTCGTTGTAGTCCTAGCCGGCGCCCACGAAGAGTACACGGCGGGTTTTGGGTCAAAATTTGGTGAAATGAATGCATTTTTTTGGTTGGATCATGGTGTGTCAGTGGTTCATCGCCTTTACCATTTGCTATTTTGCTGCCACTGGTCAAACAGCTCTATTATGTTACAAAAGTATGGAGAGAGAAATGAGTGCCAATGCACAACCCAATGCAGTTAGTACTGCCAGGAATCCAAATCAAAGATCTTCTCGCATTTCTTCTTCCCTTTGGGACCTTCAGGATGGACAACTTTCATGAAGGGACCACCGCAGCTTGCAAAGAGATGAGAGAATCTTTCTGTGAAGCTCATTCGCTCCCGGTGGTGGTTTGTATACCAAAGGTCCACGAAGTTCCCAGTCGCGTTGGGAGCATAGATGCGTGCGTGAATAGAGACTCTTCTGGGCTCTTCAACTTCATCGTAGTCGTCAGAATCATTGGACAGAATGAAAACACCTCTTGCAAAGGCTTCAGCGTCCACCTTCAAAGCACTGGAGTTCATAGTGGCTGCGACCGATTCGCGAATGCTGCAAAGGATTCTGGAAGCCTTCTTGTCAGCATCAACTTCTTCATCCTCTTCAAACTCCTCTTCTTCTTCTCCTTCATGATCATCTTGGTCAAAGGATTCAAGGAGCTCACGTTCTTCTACATAGCGCTTCCACTGTGAGTCTGGAATATTCCGGTCACAAATGCCTTTCAATTGAAACTGTTCCACTGCCTGCTGCAACCAGCTTCCTGGGGCCGCTGTGATGTCTTCCAACAGTTTGCTGGGATCCATCCGTGGCTTTTTCACAGCCCCAGCGTCATCGGCCTTTCTCTTGCGAGATGGAGTTGGAACTGGTTTCACAGGAACCTGGCCGCGGAAAAGCGCATCCATGTGAGATGAATGCTCTGAAACCATGTGGCGAACTTTCGAGAAGCTCATGAGCTCCTTAGAACTTCGAAAGCACAGTTGCTCTTGCTGAGCAGTCGAGTCAGTCGTTTTGAACTTGATACTTCGAGCTCCTCCAGTAATGTCCTTTGCAACTTCCATGTTCACAATAGCCATCTCTCCTTCTGGTTTCACGTAGCACTGTGGCCCCTTGCTCAAAATCAAGGTGACCTCATCATCGATCACATCCACTCGCTCAATATCTTGAAATTTCACTTGGATTGAATGCTTGGCCGTCAGCTCCTCAGCCTTCCAAACATCCATCCAGGCCACTTCATCAGTCTTCTCCTTCGCCTCCCTGGCTTCCCCAAAGCCGAAATCATCCAAGGGACCAAACCTGGCTTCTTCCATCTCCTTGGCTTTCTTCAAGATCCTCCTTACGTCTGCAGGTCTACGATTCAACTCTTGAACCTCGAAGGCAAAACGCTGGCGGCCAAAGAGCACTTTGCCCAACAACACAATCTCCTGAAAGAGCGGGTTTTGATCAACGATCCAAACATCTTTGCCAACCTGATGTACTCCAACCGTTTCAGTGGACTTGTGAGAAAATTATAAGACATCTGAAACTTGTCTTTGGATTTGAGATTGAGCCAAAAAAGAACATAAAAGTGTCAAGATCCAACTCCAACGGAACTCCAACTATATACCCAATATAATTATCGAACACGCATGCAGCTACATGCACGAACAAGTAGCTTCTACAAAGAAGACAGCAGTGCGCCGTCAACGCAACCAGAGCGAAGCAATGGAAAACAAACAACACAAACAATTGAGTCAGGACAGCACACAAACAACAAGCAAATAAGCAAAGAAGGAATTAAACAAAGACCAAAGACTCATCAGTGTCCAAGCAAACCGCAAACATCAGGTCCAGCAAATTCAGACACAAAAACATAGAACATGAAAAACATTGACAAACTCAAGAAGCCCTGCGCCACTCCTTCTGTTGTACTTCTTTCATGTTCATGGCAAAGCCATCTTTGAAGGTCACCATGCCACCAAATCCGCCAGCTGCCCGTGCCTTCTTACCAGCCTGTGAAATTCAATGGGAATGAACTTCGCAGGGTCGAAGTGCATCTCAAGTTGAAACACATCATCACAATCTTTCCACTTGGCACTGCTTGGATTGCCATCTCATCCGATTGCCATTTCATCTTCAAATTCCATGAACTCCTAAGTTATCCTGATCCAAGAATTCAATGTCATGCCCAGTCCACAGCGACTTGAGATCCCCCATGCCTGCAACTCAGCCACTTGAAATTCTACTGGCTTCGGTGCCGTTGGACGCCTTCTCCTCTGGAAGCAAAACTGGATCAACTTTACCGACTCAAGCCAACCGTCTTGAAGATCAAACAGTTCATGTTTGTTTCTGGGTGTCCAGTGCAAAACATCTCCAAATACAAACGAAAAAAGCAACAAGTTACAGTATCAAAGATTACTTCTGTACTTCGAGTCTTTGGCATCCCTCTCCTTGGTGCCTCACTCTCATCACTCTCATTGAACTCATCGTTGTGAAAGAAATCGAACATGGCAGCAGCTGGCTCAAATACAAAAAGCAAACGGAAACAAAGAAAAACATCTGTGGAAACGTGGAAACTGCAAAGCATTGGACTGTGTGGGGGTGTATTGCGATTCAGAAGCATGTGATGCTGTTCATACTCGTGATACCTCAAAAGCTGACACTACTTCCAATATCTTCCAATGTCAGTGGCTTATTTCGTGCCCTGCGTCAGTAACCTCTTTCAATCCTGTTGAACTGTTGAACAGGTTTTATGCTGCAAAATGCTGCCAACGTTTTTGCGCTGGCATGCAAAGTCAAACATTCCTCACACAGGTGCAGGGCAAATGTGTGGGAACTGCTGATGCCTGCTGGTAGTACTCGGTCAGTGGCAATTTCATGATAGCACGAAGAAATGACAGCAAAACTAAGTGCACCCACCCGCTATTGAACCACAACTCATCACAACTTGTCTCTCAAAGCTGACTAAGTACCCTGCTCACCAAGTAGTGCAAGATCACAGAGTGCCCACCAAAGGCCTCTGCAAATGAATGATATGAATGTCTGGAAGCCATCAATCAATGTGCACTGCTAAACCGAGGATGGTGCGTTTTTGAATGTCCGCGACGCTGCCACCTGAAACGGTTGTGTTTTGTCGGTGTCGGTTTCCAAGGTCATCTGAACATTCAACTACCACTGCACCCTGAAAGAGACCCACATGGAACGTGAAAACCACTGGGTTGTAGCGTACAACAGTCTTCCCAAGGGCCATGTTGAGGTTCAGCTTTCCGGGTGTATCTGTTATTGTCTGTTTGACTCAATGACGTGACGTCAGGTCTGTGCACCGAGTGATTGATCCAAAAGGGGCATACCATCCATATGACGTGTCCGTTGCCACCGGTAGAAGATCTGCCTTCACCTATCCACGATGGCAAGTCGGTCAAGTCGGAGCAAGTTGAACCCTCGAACATTCACTGCTTGGCGCTTGCAAAACATGTTTGGGACCTATGCAGGTGTAAACTAAAAAAGGGTCTAACAATACAATTTAATGTACACTATCATGGGCTAGTTGATGCTGGTGGATTGAACAGCGTCTAGACTCTAGACTGTATGGCAATCAGTAGCCCGGGCATCAGATTGTCCTAGATCTTCCAAGTCACGCTTGGCTTGCAAAGTGTCATAGATCAAAAAGAGAAAAGGAAACATCTACATGCACATCATTGCCCGGCATAATCAAATCAAGAAACTTTGCACTCAGCAACAAAATTTGACAAGGACGATCAAGAACAAATCACTAGACTGTGGCTGCAAAACAAAAATTGCCACCGTTTTGTGCCTCGTCAGAATCACCAGCTCTTTCACTCATCTCAATGGCTTCTGCGGCCTCTAGGTCGAGTTGTGTGTGTGTGTGTGTTGTGACAGGGGTCATATGTTTGTTTTGTAAACGTTTTGCAGCTGAGTGGTTAACTTGTGACATAGACCTCTTTGTACTAGGTGAAAATAGTTGCATAGTGTTTTCGCATTCTGGCACTTGATGGTTTTGGCTGGCTAGTTTGTTTCCGAAGCTTAATGGATGCTCTTAGAGTTCCATTTTGAGGACACACTGGCTGCTCATCTCAAATGAGAAGTACATAGCGGTTAGCGTCCACCGGGCGGTACTGTTTCAACTGTTGTGCGTTGCAGGAGTCTTGCGCCCTGGCCAAGTCCATCGCCTCTTCAAGGATGCCTTCGCCTTGCAAACATCTAAACTCCTCAAACTGATCCAAAAGTATTGCCATCTTCCTCTCTCGGGCCAAAGCATGACTGCATCCTCCTAACGAACAATCCACATGACTTCATTGTCATTTGGTCTCGACATGATACAGTAGCCTAGCTTTCAAATCGTTTATCTGAACCAATCTCCATGGGTTACGCTCCAGTCGTCTTTGCTCCAGTCGGTCTTCCACCTCGTTCTCCACTCCGTTACGCTCCAGAGCTCGATGCTGGTGGACCTCTGTCTGTGTGGGGTCAATGGAGGCTTGAATCCGCTACATCACAACGTTCAGCATGTTGCCAAGAAGGGTGGAAAGCCATGCCAGCGGTCAGCACTCCAAAAAACGGCCCGATGGTGGATCCAAAAGTAATAGGTGTGACATGATCACTTGCCAAGTCTTATATAAACATGTCTTGTTTTGTTTATCATTTCTATCTCTAACAAATCCGTGTCTCAGTCGGAAGGCGAGCGAGCTTCCGCATCGTTCCCATCCGGACGGCGAGGAAGGCTTCCGCCAAAGACCCAGTCAGGACCTGGGGCGGTCGGTCCTCAAAACGCCCAATGACCTGCATGGATCATGCCAATCTCTTGAACAATTAATTCACGTCTAAATGTTTCAACACAGTTGTTTTTTGCGGCATGAGGTGGTTCTCTTCAAACATGCGCAGGCATATTATGAACTAATCTGGATTCGGAATGACATAGCGAGACCCCCTGGCCCTGGCTGGGCAGACTGCTGGTCTTGTTTCCTTCTTCCAGAGAACATTTCATTGATCATTCTGACTATTGTAATATGTTGAGCCTGATCCATCACCACTAGTGACCATGAGCTTAGATGTATGATTTATATAATATTTGGAACTGATTCTTTCCACAACCGACCCCCCAAAAATGCCGTTCTCCTCTCCATCTCGGCGGTCAGAAGCCCAGGTCGCCAGGTCACCCGTCGCGGTGCCTTGAAGAAAGACATTATACTGAGTTGAGAGTAGATGATGGCACAAGTTATCACAAGTTAGGTGGTTTTCGATGCGTTTCACAACTTGTGCTGCGCGAATCAGCCCCTTTTGTTGTGAGGCCCTCCCTTGAGGAAAAATGAAGAAAGGCCTTCCCTACGGTTTGTGTGTTTCACAAGTTTTCACACGGCTGTTTGGAGAGAGCGGCTTCTGGAAAGGAGAGATGGGCACATTTTCCATGAGTTCTGTATGGTTCTGTTGTTCTGCTTGATGCGTTGCCTGTCCCCGAAAGTTTCAGGGCGGCGGACTTCACGTTCCGCGAAGGCTTCGAAGGCTACAAGTGCTAGAAGAGGCTACAAGTAAAGTTATGTCTCTCATTCGGAGACTTCAGCATTAGCACAATCAAACTAAGAACATGAAAAGAAAGGATCCAGTCACACTCAAGTGCACTGGCATCATTTTGACGCCTAGAGGCACACCATGCGTGACTCCACCTCACTAGTGCACAGCGTTATTGCCAGCCTTGTCGAGAGGTGTGCCATCAACAAGATATCCGATGTC